ACCCAGAATTACATAAATTCAAAGTGGTCAGGAATCACTAACTATAAACCATGATTCTAATCCTAAGATAGACATAAATACATTGGCTCCATCCCAACACTAACTCCAAACTATCACCCTTATCTCTTCCATGTGTTTTTATTGGATATGCTCATGCTCAAAAAGGTTATACATGTCTTAATCCTACCATAGGACAAATATACACATCTAGACATGTTATCTTTAACAAAGCAATTTTTCCCTACAATCAATCTCGCAAACCCATTGATCATAATTCTACCTCACGGTCCTCACAGTACACGCCACCTTTGTTAGCTCCTTGTTCCTACAATAAGACATCCAAATTCCAACTCTAATATTTCCCCCTCTCAGGACATTCCTGATGCCTCTATTTTATCTCAGGCTCGATTATCATCTGCACCTATCCATATATCTAATTCCCATTCTACCACTTCTCCTCATCGAAAATTCCACAATGACAATCAACGATCTTCTTCATAATCTAAATACTAAATTCAAAGTGCTCAACCTTTGATCCATATCATAATTTCTCAGAATTCATGTGGTCCATACTTCTTATGGCCTCCATCTAAATCAAACAAATTTTGCTAAATCTATTCTCTCCAAAGCCGGCATGATTAACTATAAAAACATCTTCCACCACTAGCAACTCATATGCATTTTCTAATCCGACATTCTTTCATCAGTTAGTAGGCTAGCTACAATATCTAGCTCTCACCATACCTAATATCTCGTTTGCTGTCAACAAGATATGTCAACATATGCATAACCATCAAAATAGTAACTTTGAAGCACTCAAAAGCCTTTTATGATACATTAAATGTACACTTAATATTGGTTTACAACTCTTTCGTGACTCTCTTCTTCTTAGTTCCTATAATGATTCAGATTGGGCCAGTGATTTGACCGATAAAAAATCTATATCTAGCTATTGTAACTACATTGGATCCTCACTAATATCATGGAGCATCAAAAAACAAAATGTGGTTGCCAGATCTTCTAAGGAGGCTGAGTGTCGAGCCTTTGCCGCAGCTGCTGCATAAGTCATCTAGCTTCGTCCCTTACTCCAAGATTTCAACTGCTTTCTCACGGCCTCCTCTCCTTTGTATTGTGGAAATAAGTTCGCCATTTCATTAACAAACAATTCGGTCTTTCACGCTTGGACAAAACACATTGAAGTCTACTGTCATTTCATCAGGAAATGTATCAAAGATAACTCTATCACAGTTCATCATATATCCACCAAAGACCAAGTCGCTGATATCTTCACTAAGCCTCTCTCCATATCAATGTTTAAACAACTTGCAACCAAACTAGTTACATCTTCAGTTACACCAGTTTGAGGGGGGCTGTTAAGACAAGTCTACACGTCAGCATTTCAATTTCAAGAAGCTCTGTACAATTCGCTTACATGTGCAACTCTAGGATTTGCTCTTTATATTTTTCTAGTCTATTTATATCTATGTACTCATTCCTTTTATGTAATGGAAATTGTTTAATTTCTCATCTCATTCTCTGTTTCTTCTCTTCTTCCTTTTGACTTCTCTCTTTCTTTCATGTTCTCATGACGGACCTCGTGTACAACATCAGGATGGAGTGGGACGAAGACGATGACCCTTCTGGGCTTGCAAGCTGTTTGAAGAGCCGCTCGATGTGAGATAAGTCAAGCTTGAGCTCGGTATTTGACAGTCAAGCTCGACTCAAATACCCGCTGACTCTAGCTCAACTTGACTCGTTTGCACCCTAGTCACCATAGTTAGCAAGTAGTAGAGAATTGATTCAACCGCTCTCTAGAGCACCAAACCTTGACAGCCATTTAATCGAAAAATGGCCTTTTAACAGCATTTAATAGTAGCATTTCTAAAACAGCTATCAAACATAATTTTTTTGAAGCGATATACTATACACAAATGCTCTAGAGTTGCTTGGTAATTTGGAAGATTTTAGCCTCTGAATATATGCCTGTGTTCTTTCTTTTATTTTTCTAGTAGAAATGTTGCCTTCTCAAAAATTGTGAGCAGATTGAGAATGTCATTTGAAGCTGTTTATATGTGATGAATCAAAATTTAATGATTTATCTATCATTCTAGTTTAGTTATATAAATTTTTCACCAAATTCTACTCTTCCTGTGAGATGGATCAAATTATATTTTATTTTTATGGCACAGAATAGCAGCGGTTTTAACCGCTGATAGTTTATAGATTTAAAGTAGTCATAACCGTGGCCATATAACAAAAATACAGTTGTAATAACCACTGCTAAAAACTCTCTTTAATAGCATTCCTTAAACCGCTAAAAATCTTCACAGCAACTGCAATACAACAGAGCGCAACGGAACAGCTGTTATTAAATTACTGAAACTGCTGCTATTGGTTAAAACTATTGCCATAAATAATAGTAGTGTTTGCCACACAATTGAGTACGAAAAATAAATATTTTTACAGTTAATCCGCATGATGCTAACGACATCCATACCCATTGACCTTGAAAAGCCAAACAAGTTAATCCAACTCCTCAATGCACTTAGAAATTGTGGTAACATCTTAGTACATCCCACATGTGTTCTATGTCAGATTTTATCACCCAAATAGTGTCAAACACCGTTTACTTTTCATAAAACAGTAGATCTGCAAATAAGAAATATAGACCTTCCTCGCCTTCTCTAGCCGAACCCCAAATGCATGAATGACGTCGCTCACGAGCTCCAGCCGAACGGCAAAACTTTCGGTATTTGGTTGCGGTTGAACAGTGCGACGTCAATATTGACGTGGCACTGTTCACCTGCATTATTTTTCTGTCCCTACCGGTGTTGCCGAAGAAACGCGCGAAGGAGAAAGATGGTTACTTGGGCCCAAAATGGAGTTCGATTGGAGATGAATCACGCCATTTTTTAGTTTCACTGCATTTTGAAGTGAAAATGAGATATTCGATTGGAGATGCCCTCTGTGTTGAAGCTAGAGATTATTACGTGCGGAGATAGGACACAAAAAATCGTCAGGTTTTGGTCTCTGTCAACAGTAAAAGCATAGTAACTGTTCACTACTACGTTTTTATTATTCGTAGAGACAAAACCGGGCGATTCTCAATGTCTGATCTCCGCACATAATAACTCCAAGGAAGCATCCCTTACCTAGGACATTAAAGCAGTATATGCACATCTAATCACCACAGAAAGGACGATCTTAATTAAAGAAGCTTTTGTCAAATGTCCTGAGCCCTCCATTAATATCTTCATGAAATATCAGGATCTTTCTTTCTATATAATGCTGAACATTCTGAAGTGGATTGCAAGCCTTGTTAGCTTTCAGAGGGTGAGGAGGAGAAGAGGAAGTGTGCTGCTCTTTGCTAGTCTTGCTAGCTAAGCTCTTATTCTCTCTTCTTTTACATACTGAAAATATATTCTCGTCTTTTTCACGAGGTAATAAACCACCCTTTCTTCTAACCATTTGATCAGTAACAAGTTATTGACTAAACAAATTTTATTGTTTACATTGTAAGAATATGGAGAATGCTTTGGTTCTTCAAAAAGATGCTTCCTTTTTTTTTTGGGATTTTTAATGTAGAAAGAGGAATTTTTTTATTTATTGGTATAACATTCAAGTTATTTGATATAAAAATGATTTGTGCTCGTGATTTTGATAGTAATTTTCAAGGTATTTATCACAAGTTTGCACTCATATTTTTATTTTTTATTTGTGGGAATATTGAGTGTCAAAATACAAATTTCAAATATATGAAATTTAACTTCATGATCTTCATGCTAATTTTCAAGATTTTTATGTTATCAATCTCTGCTAAGAAAGGGGAATTACTCGTTACCGGCGGAATTTTCTTGCAGTTTTCCGACGAAAAATTTCGCCTGTAATGAGCGATTTTCCTGTTACTGGAGCTTATAGAGATTACAATTTTGAGACTTAATTACATATATGATTGTGCATAAATTGGTAATTAAGTTTTTTTTCCCCTATTTTTCTTCCCCATTTAAGTTATGATCTAGTTCCTATTAAATGTTTAACTATTAGTTAAAAATTAAGCCCAAATTTTCAAGCCTTAACAAGTACTAATAATAATAATAATAATAAGTTATATATCTATTTTGAGTATAAATTAAAGCTAAAACAATTAAGCTAAAAATTTGGGACAACTTTCTTATTGCTTTCTATGGCAGCTTTCTAGTAAATAAAAATTACAGTTAAAAAAAAAATTATTCTAAAAAGCTGATTAAAAAAGTCGTAAGAAAGCCGTCCCAAACAAAGCCCTAATATGTGAGAGCCTTGCTTATACTATTTTGGATTGTTGTAATTTTATATTCCGCCTCCGCGATAGTCATCTCCTTCAAAATATTCCTCAATGAACGATATGTAATTATGTAACATTTATCACTAATATTAATGCTTATTTTTCTCATGAAAAATTAAAAGATGATTAACCTTCTTAAAACTTACCAAATCAATATAAAAGCATGACATTCTAATTATGATATTTATTAAGAATAAATGTTATCCAATAATTCAAATATTTAAATTAACTAAACCAAACCTATTTATAGTCCTACCAATCAATTTTCTTTTTTTAATTAGGTCTCTAATATTAAAACTTCTAGAAGCTTGAGTATTCACTCTTTGAATTTTTCTAATATTTAAACAACATAGGCTCCATTTAAAATAATTTTCTTACTATTTTTAAAAATAATTTTTTAGTATAATTTTTTTTAAAAGCAATAAAGAAATAACAACCATAAGCAACTTAATAATTTTAAATTTATTTAAGATAAATAAAATATAAATATAATTAATTAGTTATATTAAAAACATCATGATTAAATTTTAATTTAAATAACTTTATTTAATTTTTCTTCAATAATCTCTCCAATTTATAACCACCAATCATCTACTTGTATTTACTTATAGAATTTGTTATACAAAATGAAGAATAGGAAGCCATAGATCAATATCAATGCCATAAATTGTTGCTGCCTTCAATATTCATCACAGGAGAAAATTTCAGAGAAATTTTGGACCTTTTCATTTTTTTTTTTCAATCAATATGATGGCTTTGCATTCAGCACAGTAAAATAAACTTACAGTTGCATCAAAAAAAAAAAAAAAAAGAGAAAAAAAAGTGCTCAAATCCAAGAATTTCTCCCATGTTGGATCGAGAAGAAGATTTCTTTAAAAAAAATGGCTTAATCTCCACAGAAGAATCAACCTGATGATCTCCAAATCCTTCCTTCCAAGGAAATTACCATTACAGAAACATCATCATGGTACTTCCTGCGATCTCCATGAGGGATATCAAGCAACTCATGAAAATCCATTCCTGGATGGAGAAAACGAAGAAGATTTCAGAAAATCATGAAACATTACAATAAACAAATAGAAATTTAAATTTAAATGAACAAAAATGAATACCATTTTTCTTTGCTGCTCGGAAAAGCAATTCTGCAATGAGATATTGTGCAGGATCTCCATCTGGATTGTTTTCAATGAACCATGCAACGTGTGAAATCACCTCTTCATTACTGAAGTATTCGTAAAGTCCATCAGAGGAGAGGATTAAGAACCGATCATTTGAACATAAACGGTGATGAACAACTGAAGGCTGGCAGCTAAGGTATGGTGAAGTTCCAACGTAGTCAACTCGGAACATCTCCAACAAAGCATTATTAAACTTTGACTGCAGAACATAACTATTTCTTAGAAGAATAAACTACAATAGACAAGAACACAGCTTTCTGAACAATGCAAGAGAAATGACAATAAGTAAGAAAGCTGTCCTAGAAAGCTGCTTTAAGAAGCAGTAAGAAAGCTGTCCCAAACAAAACCTAAATTTTAATTTTTGATCTTTAATATCTATTGAGCAACAGTTAGTATTTGTGCAACCTGAAGAAGCAAATATTAGTGTTACCGGTAGTATCAATACGTGATCTGATATGAAAATCCGACTCGAATTTGACATGAAAAATCAAGGTTCAGGTCGACAGGTATAATATTTGGTTAATCTGATGATTATTTGATTATTTTTTTAATGAAAAACTCATTAAATTATAATATTTTGCTATTTATTGAGTTGTTGAGTCTAATTCAGATAGAGTTGACGCAAACTCATTATGATTTGAATATTTTTTTCATGTTGTGTTGGATCGGTTTTAGATTTGGTCATGTTGGGTTTGACTTCAGATTTATCTATTTATTATACAAGGCAATGGATTTGGGTTGACCAATTTATGTCGGATCAATTTTGAGTTTAATCCGAATCTTCTCCTTTAAGTTGCATTGACACCCCTAGGTTACTTCATGTTGAGTAGACAAAAGATCTCATATTAAGATGAGTTATTCACTGCTCATCAAAGGAATGGTAGTATGGCATTCCATAATGTACACTATATATCATGAAAACATCCAATGTCATATTGTACACCATATAACACAAAGCCATCTGAAGCAGAAGAGGCCAATTTTTTAGGCGTTCACTGTTCTTTTTTATATTTTGTAAGTGTTAGGTAGAAGGTTGGAAGGTGATGAATGTAACTTCCTAAATAGTACCTATAAATACTAAGTTACAAATAAACAGAACAAAGAAAACGTGAACAGACAAAAAAGATCCTGCGTAATGACCACATAATTACTTTTTGTTAATATATTCAAGATGCAGTGTGACCAAAATGACTATGCAAAAGCAATGAGAACAATGGGAAAGCCCATAGAGATCATGAAAAATAAGAAGGATGCTAGTATAGTAATAATAAATGAAAATGATATCATCATCATCATCATCATACAACCATCTGCCAAGGTTAGAATTACTCGAATCATGATGTGGATCGAAAATGGGCTCACCAAGTTGCTAAATGATGAACCATCTTATTTGCAGTACTTATTAACACCAAAGTTGCCCGAAAGCCTTGAAATAGGTAATATGCTAATTATCATTAAGTTGCCTAAGAGTAAGTAATAAGACAAGCCTCAATACTAGGTTGTTAAACTCAGCAGAGAATCAAGAACTGCCAACTGACTTAGAATACTCGTTAACCTGTTTAGAGCACTCAGCCCGAGTACCCGTTGATTGATAATAAGTTATTGCCTCCGGAAGTGGTCTAGAGTACCATCAATAATACCTTTTTTTAAGGACTCACTCACCATACAATCAACAATAGTGAGATCATCCTACACTTTCTATGTAATTGTACTAAATTGCCAACTCTATAAAGGGGTGTAATTGAGTCAAGCCAACTCGAGCTCAACTCATTAACGAACTCATGAGCCAAGCTCATCGAGCTAGAGCACAAGCCTAGCTCGGCTTGAAAGCTCGTTAAGCAACTCGATTAACTTAAAATATATTTAAATTTTAATTTAAATTAACATTATATAATATATACTAATATTTTTAAATTAATTTTGCATTACAAATAAAAATTCTTAAAAAAATAATTTAGAACTAAGAAATCAAGCTTAATAATTGAGCAAAGCTCAAGCTTTCCAAATGAGCATCAGCAATCAAGTTGAGCTCGAGCCTGCAAATTTTTTAGCTAGTCGAGTTCGAGCTTAGCAAATCAGCTCGTGTCAAGCTCGAGCTCAGTAAGAACTAAACAAGCTTAGTTCGATTAGGTAGATACTCGACTCAACTCATTTACACCCTTAACTTTATAGCATTGAACTTAGTCTCCACCTATAAATAAGAGGTTAGAGGTTAGTCATGGGCACAAAAAATATGACATTAATTTTCAAAGATTAAATTAAGATCTCCCTTTTCTTTGAATTGTGTTTCCTTAACTCAATTTGACTTGCCTTATTTAATCAAAGGGGTGTGGGCTTTAAAAAATCCCCATCAAACTCTACCGACATTTGAGTTGGTATATGAATCAATTTTTTAAAATAAAAGTTGAAGACCTCGTAAACCTAGGGTAGAAGCTTACAAAAAGGGTATGCTTAGGCTAAACTGGGCTAACATAGGGCTTCATGCCCCATTAAGTGCGTCATATGGCTTACAGCAAATAACCATAACCATAGAAAAATACCTGATAATATAATATCATCATCCAAATCAAGATAACCACTCATCAAAGGGAACATTCCACATCTTACTAACATGAGATTTTGTTTAATGTGAGCATATGGATCATATATATATAATTAACTATTATGACCCTGCCAAACCAGGATTTGATACTCGAGCTCGACTTTTTAGACAAATTGAACTTGAAATTTGATTTGATTGTACAATTGAAATTGTTGAATCAGCCCAATACTTAGGCTCGTGAGTTGATAAATTTAACTAGCTATGCCCTTGGACTAGTTGAACTAGGATTTGATATTCATCTATTCTTTTATACTTTATAAGCTTAAGATTAATGTGTTGACCTGGTTAATAGAGCTTGTTGAATCAGCAAGGCAACTCAACACTTAAATTTTTTAGCTGAAAAATTATTGCTTATTTGACCCTTAAGGCTTATTAGATGGGGACTTGCTGTTCAATTTCGATCTTTGGGCTTGTTGAGCTTGAGATTGATATGTTGATTCAGTTTATGGAGTTTTAGTTAAACGAACAAAACAGCTAAACCTTTAATTGGACTTCTTGAGTTTTAGATTGCTATCGTGATTCGAATTTTGGAGCTTATTGAATCAACACAAGAGAACTCTTAGATTTGTCAGTTGAACGAATTGTCGCTATAATGGGTAGTTCTGTTAGATTATAACCATGAGTTACCAATTAGCATCTTAAAGCACGGCTATGTTGCCTTGAAACAAATTTATTCAAAACTACCCCTTATATGATAGAGAAATTTCAGAGAACAAGGCAAACTTAACCTTTCATAAACCATTGATTATTTAACCAATTTAGCTGTTTGAATTTATTAAACTAATTGCACCCTAGATCAGCCCTTAAACTTATAGGATTGGACAATTTGTAAGAATGAGCTTAGTTGCAAGGGCAGGTTGATCAAAGCATGATAACTTGGTCTTTAGGTTTGACAGGTTCACATAAAGGCATAGCCTAAAGACCAATGCACATTATAGAGGCATAGGTTTTACACCCTCAATATTGATAAGCTGGTAGGCTCAACCATATACTTTTTTTTTTTAGGGTTAGTCGAGAAAGCCAACCCTATATCATCAATAAATTATGTCGATCATATGTCTTAATAACCATACAGCGCCCATCAATTAAAAGATGTGCGTGGTATACATAGCCAATCGACCCTTTTAAGCTCAACCATATACTTATTCAATAATGAAGGCTCATTTCAAATTTGGGTCAAATTTGCCACCAATGCTAAGACTATGATGAAGAATTATAGGTTTTTGACATGCATAACTAATGCACCACCTTAAAGCTTCAAGGGTGGATCATACTATTATGGATTCTAATAATCATTATCGTATGATTTCCTAATTTCTGTTGAGTTTCATTTAAACTTTGGGTATATCATATATGGCATCATCAACAATTCACGGATGTTCTTATCACATAACTATACTATTAGTTTTTATATGAGAAAAATTTTCATTCATGTTCTATATTGAACTATAGAATTCAAGGTACACTTTTTTATGATCTAAAAAGAGGAGTAGTGAAGTTAGTGTATATTATGTCATTTTAGTAGATGCATGCTCTTATGGGGAGTTATCACATTTAATATAATGCATCTTATAACGGGAGTAAACTTTTACAAGCTAAAACTCTTTTATTCATCTTACGTCACTTATCATTATGAAATCGAGTAAATTATTGGCCTCATGGACCACAATCTATCATATAATTGATGGTTTGCTAAACAACAATTTCATAATAATAAATCTTATGTAGTTTTATGTAATTGTTTGCGAAGTATTTCACACTTAATTGAATCTTGAATCTTTAGCAAAATTGAGATTAGTTTCAAATGGAAGCTTGATGAAGACTCAAGCAAGCAAGAAGTATTCTAGGTTTTCTTCTTAGTTTAAGTGATCAAGTTGTTTATGATTAAATTGACTAAGTATTGGTTAGGCTAAAGCTGAAATTAAATTTCAAAAGTTTATTTATAGTTTTTTATTTGCTTTCAAAATAAAAAAATATGAAATCGAAGTTGATTAAATTTAAAATTTCAAAAAAATTTAAGGATAATTAAGATAGTGCTAAGGTTATTATCTTTCACCTTTTTAAGTAGCTTATTAAAATAGAACAAATTTCATAATTTTTTAATATCATTTACTATATTAAGTGCCTAGCAAATTGTCCTGTGTCTTTGTTATCAAGAAAGGAGTCTTGGGTTGTTTTGCATGGATTCATTTGGCAATAAATAGAGAGTAAAATGTGAGCCAAATAACTAATGAAATGAGAAGGTGTAGAGCTTAAATGATAAGATCATTTACAGAAAAAGATCAAAATACTTATTAAGTCATTTCTCCTCGGGCTTCCTTTAATGTAATCTCTATCTCAACTCTTTAAAAGACAGTTCCTTTTGCCCAATGGAAGTTGATGCACATCAAATCCATCATCTGACCCATCAACACTGCTATTTACACAACATCGCATTCAACTTTTAGAATGATGCCATGTTCAAATTATTTATCTTATAAGATTGTATCATTTAATAACTGTGGCATCCCAACTTTACAAATTAAGTATAAACCGAGAAATGCCAATAGGTAGATTAGACTTCAAGCTTAATCATTATCTTTATAAATAGAGAACTACATATATTATGGGCTAATGATGAGACGATGGTGCATTTGCCTACTTAGTTTCATCTCCTCCCCTTACTATCTACACGACATCATTTAAAAGTTTATTTTCTCAACTTAAAAAATTTTGTACAATCTGCGAAGATTATTATCTTATAGTTGACCTCCGACCTTCAGGCTTGTTGTGTCATAGAAAAGTCCCCCTCAAACTTAAGGGAAAATTCTATAAGATGGTGGTGAGACCTGCAGTGCTTTATGGTGCAAAATATTGGCCATTAAAAGAGAAGCATAATATTAAGTTAAGTGTTGCAGAAATGAGGATGCTCAGGTGGATGAGTGGCTTTACTCTGAGAGATAGGATATGAAATGAGCATATATGTGAAAAGGTTGGAGTAGCTCCAGTGGAAGATAAGATTAGTCCGCCTTCGGTAGAACTGGACCGGCTGGGCCGGTCCAGGTGGAGCCGGTCCAAGCTGGACCGGCATAACAGTACACCTAAAAAGACTAGGTTAGAAAATATTAGAAATGACCTTTCTTCTTTAGATTTAAATGAGAATTTGACTCTTAACAAGACACAATGAAAAAAAAATGATTCATGTAGCCGACCCCACATAGTGGGATAAAGGCTTGATGTTGTTGTTGTTGTTGTGAAGATTATTATCCTTATTCTAGAGTTCGCCTGATGAGTGGGTCTCTTAGATTCACTGTAGATCTAGCAAACCAAGCCTCATTTTATATTTAGCTTGAGCCCCGAATATCATTCCAGAAAACAAAACCCCCAAGAGTGGATGTTGACCTTTTATTCTTTGGTGTTGGTGTGCATGACTTGTCTTCAAGCCAGCAGTTGTTCAATCATCGAAGTCCACAGGAATTGAATTGCCTTCAGCAAGTAACAATACTAATTGACTAAACCTATAGTACTAAAAGACAAAATAGCTGCAGAACAATATACATTAATTTACATGAGACCTTTTTCAATGGTTTAAATCACCCTACAAGCACGTGAAAAGTGGCCAACAAATACTCATGCATTTAAAATAAAAAAACAGCGTTCAATAAAGATTTGGAAGAAAAGTAAAGGAGGATGATTTTAAGAAGAGAGAAAATCCCAAAATGCGCAAGCATCCATTAAAAAGATGACTCCAATAATCAAACAAAAAATTTCTCAGTGGAAGACAAGCCCACCATTACTGAAGAAAAAAAATAATAATTGCTTCTCAAAAAGAATTAGTAACCAAATCAATAGAAATGGTTAAAGTATGGCAGCATGAACTTATGAAAAAGGAGACTGTCATATATGTTTAAAAAAATCATTATTACGTATCATTTCCCTCAATAAGTGTTATGTATTCCCAATTAAGTTATTATGCCTAGCTCAACAAATACAATTTCATCGGTCATGTGCTCAAGAAATGCATCTGCCTTGCATGTATCAAACCCTCGTCATACTCTTTATTAAGGAGAATCTTATGCAATGGGAAAGCCCTTTTTTAATTGTTAAGACTCATTTAAAAAAAAGAATTGGAAAAGACTGTAATTCAGCAAATGTATTTATTGCACATGTTAACTAACCTGTTTGAGAAATTCAGCTCCAAATGCTCTAGTAACTTTTAACTGACCCTTTACTCTACCATTTAATACAGCCTGAGGATCATCAACATGTTCAGCCTTAATCCTCAGTACTTCCTGCACAAGTAATCAACAGATAGAAAGTTTTCAATTTTGTAGTTAGTATAACCTTTTTTATTAAATAAGTCAATTAAAAACTGGATATCAGTAGATTTTAGAACAGCATTAAGCTGTTCACATGATAATACTAAAAATAAGTCATCTATTAGACCTGAACAGGTCCGGTCCAACCTGGACCGGTTCAGGTCTATTCCCTCCGGCCCAAGAAAAACAGGAGGGGGAGGCGGCAAACTTGGTGGGGCCCAAGGATTGAATTAAACCTCTAGGAGGAAAATTTTGAATGAGGGGTTGTTTAGGGATTATGTAATTTTCATTTTGCTTTAATTAGTCTAGCATGTTAGGGTTTGGGGACATCTTGAATTTGAAATCAGATTTGGGATCTAGGGTTAGTTCTTTTGAGCTCTAGTTTTGGCTAGAGATTTGGAGAGCAGTTTCTTTCTCTCCAATTGATATGACTAGATTACAAGTGGAAAAGGATGCGCAGCATAAAGAAAATGACTTAGCAATCTTAGCTTAAATGCGGGGAGACAACATAAAAATAACTTCTGATCTTGTACATGTCCAATCAAAATGTATGGCAGCCTAAAAAATTTATGGCATCGTAATCATTGTAGATGTCCAACCAAAATGTATTAAAAAAATATGAACTTCTTATTTGTATAAAACACATTTCAATTTATATTTTCCAAAAAACTAGTAGAGATGTTCATGAAGCTAAAACAAAATTGGAAAAGGAATGTGGCAGTATCTGATACTTACTTCCTCGACACTGGTGCTGTGATCAGAGGACAGTTGAACAGCCGTCAACTTCAATTTGCAAATGGAGATTTCATGGTTCTTATTAACGCTGGAAACATGGCTGGTTGGATTACGCATGGGAAATTCCTCAGATATCCTGTCAAGCTCCACACGAGCAATTGACTCCCTTGATCTGTTTTGGAACCTTGAATCATCCTTTGTAAGTACAGCATTTCCATTGCGATCGCTCAACCAATCTTGTGCCAAGACGACACGGCTGTCACCGAGGTTCATGACATACACATCTTGATCCTTCATTAGCATCACAAGAACACATGAGCCCATTAGTGCGAGCTCTGGATTGATATCAAGTGCCTTTTCCACCATGTCAGCATAAGCTTCCTCTGTGATCTCAAGTGCTCTAGCCAATGCCTTCATCACAGCTTCATGATCAACAGGACCTGACTTGCATTTCCAAACAGCAACTGAAGGATTGATTGTGACATCATTCAGATGGAGTTGGTCTCTGTGCCAATCATAACTCCATGGAAAAAACTTTTTAAGTAATGATTTCCGCTTCCAGCATATTTTTTTCAACTTGGATCTAATCAATAATCTTTTCATCTTCTTTTGTCTTAAAGCTGAAAAAGGTGGCATGGGCTGTTCCTTTGGATCTCTGTCCTTCTCCAAACCACCTTCAGTTTCTCGTACACTGATGACCTCTTCAATACACGCTGAACTTCCAACGGCGATGTTTGTGGAGCAGGAAACAAGCTGAATCTCTGATATGTGCTCTTTATCAATCGAGTCTCGATTGAAATGTGATGGTGAATCCAATGAGCTCCTGCAACCGGCATCTGATGCTAACCTAGAGTCCTTATTCTTAGAGTTCTTCACCTTTTCCATTTGAAGCAGCTCATAAAGGTGCTTGCTTGTCCTGGGATGCATTGAAATGTTTTCAGCTGGAGGTACATTAGTAGCTTCACCAACTGAGGCTGCATTCCTTTTGGTCAGTTTTAAATACTGATCCTCATTAATCTCTCTTGCTAAGTGCTCATAATTTAAGTTTGTGGATTCAACTTTTTCATCACCTTGTGTTGGTTCTGTGCCCAACTCATCTTCGACGGCAGGCTTCCCTCCAAATTCATATTTTGGTGAATGAAAATTGTAAACTTCTTCAGAGTTTTTGTCTATGGATAGATCATTGGATAGTTGAGAATTTGAAATTATTTTTTCAGAGACAACATTGTGCGGCTTAGGAAGCATAATATCTCCTCCTACAACATCTGAAAAAGCACAAAAAGATTTGCCTGAAGGAACAGCAGCTGAAGGAAGACAATCTTGAGGCTGCTTTCTATAATCCCACAACAAACCTTCCAATTCTTTATTTATGGCTTTGTAAAGATTGTTCATAAGAAAATCAGGTGCATCAGGACCACTAAAACCATCATATATCCCAACAAATAGCCAACCTTGTTCTTCAGAAAGAACTACATGAACCCTATCCTCCCCAGCCTTGCCATGAGCCCATTGCAAGTTTTTCATATTGCTATACTCAGGCTCAGATGCCCCAACCTCAGCACTGTTACTTGGAGTATTACCTTTGAATTTTAACTCCTTAGGATGCCAAACCAACTGTCTCACGAGATGCAAGAGAAGCCTTTGTATCCGGCCAGAACCGCGCCAGGGCTTTGTGAAGATCCGAGAGCAGGCACTTCTTATAGGCCCACTCATGCTTCTCGCAAGCCGTTTGATCCTGCCTTTTCCATGGACATAAGCGAGTGAAGCTGAAAAGTTGCTTCTATCTGTGTTATCAATCGGACCAGACATAAATACACCCTTATCTAAGGGCCCTGACATGAATCCTGCTCCTCTTTCCAAAGGTCCTGAAGCAAACCCCCTCTCCAGAGGTCCAGACATGAAGCCATTCAAGGGCCCAGAACCTCGAGGAACCGGCTGCAAAGGAATGGCAGCAAAGGAAGCTGTGCTCTCAAAAGAAGCCGCTGGCTGCTGGATTTCCCCAGAGAGCAATAAATTGAGATTGCCACCAGTCCTAGCAGTGGATACATTGGCACTAACTGAAGCTCCAGAAATGGCCTTAAAGGTTGTTTCAGGCAAGCCACTGTTGGGTCTTTGTAAGGTAGCAAGATCTTCTACTATCACTTCCTGCCTAAAAGAGCCACACTGTGTCTCAGTATCAACTGTGCTTGAACATGCTGTATACCTATCAGATGTGAATGGAGTTATGGCCGGAGAATCAACAATCACCGGTCGAACATAACAGAAGGAATGACCTAAACCTTCATCTAATGGCTCCAAAAACTCCAAATTGACATCATCTTTGCCATTGCTAAATGGCCCGAAGCAACAAACAACACGAGAAGCACTATTGCCCATAACCAACCCACCAAAACAAAATCTGATCAATCACTGCTAAAAGTCGCAAAACCTCTCAACCCATAGAATCCTTCTATGTTGCCTTTGCATCATGAGCATTCGAAGCACAAAAGTCTTGAGTGTCGGACACCTAAAAGGCTAACAATCCTAGCCACGAAAACAATCAAAGTTGAATTCATCGAATCATAATAAGCAAATATAGAAACTAAAGGCATAAATGAAAGAACTTAAGCAAAGACAGGAGTGCTCGTCATCTAACCTCCTAACAAACAAATGGCAAGCTCTCTATCATGAAACCACGAACCGGCGCCCCAGAGAACAGATCTACAGTAAAACCAGCTGAGAAAGACGAAGAAGACAATCAAAATGGAGGGATGACAGAGAGGGGGATGAGAAAGTAAGTTCAACCACGGCCAGAGAAAACCCAGTCGCGACGAAGGGGAGCAAGTAGGAAAGGGCGAGCCAAAATGGGATTTTTAAAGGAGAAAAAGAAGAACAAAAGAGAAAGAACAGAGAATGGGAGAAAGAAATGGGGAAACTGTTCGGAACTGAATGAAACCGGAGAAGTGGATTAGGAAGTTTGCTTCTTTTCAGATTCAAAAGTGGGAAAGAGGCGAAAAGATCGCCAAGAGGGAACAAGAAGGTGGCGGTGAGCTCACTTAGAACCCATCGCTTTCTCCGGGTTTTGAAAGTAAGCATATACTAAACAAAATTGTAATAAGAATTTATTAGTATAATACAAAAATAAGAGTATATATTTATTTATTTATTTATTATTTTAATATTTAAATCAATTCAAAATATAAACATAAAAGATATTATTTTATTTTAAATAAGTTAATATTAATAATATTTTTATATGACTTACAAACTAAATAATACAAGAGCGACATACCTAGAGCTCACCATCTTAACAAAATAATAACATAAATATGATCAAGATGTTCACATAAGTTTTTCTATTTTTTTAATTTTAATATCATATATATATATATGAAAAGATTTTATTTATTTTATGATGAAAATAAGGGAGATTATATATTTGCATATTTAATAATAAAATTTTTATGTTTATATATGAAATATGTAAATTATTAAAATATATCAAAGAAATATTTATATTAATTTTTATAAAATAAAATAGGCATGTTCATGTATATGTTTTTGGACATGATTAAATTAATGCTATAAAATTATATAAATAAATATGAATTTTATAAAATAGATATGCAAATAAATAAGAAGTTTGTGGTAAGTATGTAAATCCCTCTAAAATTAAAATGTATATTTTGCTTACTTTTATATAAAAATAAATTATCTCTTGGTAATATTTATGTGAGAAGCTCCTAACATCATGAACGGCATGACTAGAGTGGACTTTTGTATTTTTCCCCTCCCACTTGCTTAATTTGCGACAAAATCAAGGTCAAATGAAGAAAAAAAATATAAAAATAAGTAAATAACTAAATAAACAAATAATTAAAAAAAAAACATAGAAGAAAGTAGGAAAAAATATTGTGGAGGGAATCATTTAATTTTCTTTGCTTTGTAGGTGCAAACAGCTGAGCTACTATCTATAATCTATATTGATATATAGGCAAGTCTCATCATAAAATAGTATTTAAATATTATTTTTTTAATTTATTTTTTTGTAAAATTGTTATTGATGTGTAGCAACATTCTTTGCATGATACAAGTGACTTCATTGTCATGATTTTTTTAAATGAATATTATATATGCGTGATTATGATATTTATCTCGTAATAAACTATAATATGAATGCATAATGAATGATACGACAAAGAAAACTAATGTTGAATAAAATTACGGTAATGGGCCCGAGCTGAATACAACTCTTACATATCGTAGTTTTCGATAATGTTGGGATGAAAGCTCTGTATGCTTTATATTGAGAGAAACGACGAAACGTGGAGCTTGACTTTGGAGTACTGAATGGCTTGATGTTCAAATAATGCTACTATAATATTATAAGATGTGAATATTTATCATGATCATGTTGAGATACATTTTGAGCATTATTATAATGTTATATGAATTTCCACTAAGTTTTTTCTAGAAGGTTTTGAATATTATCTTCGAGTGACTTGTTGACATAGGTAATGAGAAAAATTAAGAGAAATCGAGTAAAGTCTACTTTGACTAACCTACCTCCATATCAATAAATAGAATTTATTTTAGATACTCAATTAAGAAATAAATTGATTTTGAAGGCCCTTGATTCAATGTCATTGTTTGATCGGTAAAAGTTAAATGTTTAGTTATAATACTTACTAAAGAAGAAATATATTGGGCTCAGTGCATCATCATGGGAAACTCTTATTCTATTTCTAAAGAAGAAAGATGATAACATGAGATTGTACACATAATACTAAAAAACTAAATAAATTGACTATTAAGAATTGTTATCCTCTTCCACGAACTTATGATCTTTCTGACCAATTAAAAGGCATCATAGTTCTCTCTAAGATTGATTTTAAATTGGGGATCATCATTTGAAATCAAAGAATTAGATGTGTTGAAGATTGTCTTACGAATGAAACGTGGTTGTTATAAATTTCTTGTCATAAATTGGATTAACAAAATGTTGGAATAACATTCATGAATCTAATGAATTGAATGGACCAACATTAATAGTATTCATAGATAATGTTTTATTTTACTATGTGATCAACATCATCATGAAAAACGCTTATGAATTATCTTGCAAAACCCTTTGAGATCATTCATTATGTCTAAAATTCTCTAAGCGCATCTTTCATCTTAATAATATCTTATTTCTAAGACATCAGGTTAGTGTTGCATGTAACTTAGTGAACATTGTAAAGCTTACAAAAATAATAGACTGGCCTTGAACCATTCTTAGATTACTCTAATATTAAAAAAAATTCATCAAATATTTTCTTAGAATGAGACACAAACATCTTGACTACTTCATAGAACATTCAAATTTGAGTGGAAGAATATGAGTAGAGTTATATTTTAATAGTTAAAATAATGTCTCATAACAACAACAATCTTGATTCATTCGAAGATAAATTGATAGACTTCATATTCATAATGATGCTTTTTTCAACCTAGAGGGGGGGATCCCCTAATTCATACCCTCATAATACAAACTAAACCTACCCTAAAATAACATATCAACAACAAATAAACTAACAAGAACTACAAATACAATAACTAATAAAAATGAGCCACTAAAGTGTCCAAATATAACAGACAAGACTCAATTCTATGCAAGATACCACACAAGATAACCAAGATGTAGTCTTGATAATTAATCTATGTGATAAAATGTGAATTACTAACTTCATAAGCTATTCAAACTTATTCATGAACACCTAATTTATATAAGAGTCCCAACAACAAAATATAAGGATGACAATTATAAGTGATATATAATAATGAGGGATAACCTTTTTAACCACCGATAAATTAATTACTCTACACAATTATATAACAATAAATATTAATTGCCAATTTAACTATTCAGTAGTAGAAATTTGCTTTAGAAAGCAATAAGAAAATTGTCACAAATGAAGTATAAGGCTTCATTTAGGATGACTTTCTTACTGTTTTTTAAAGCAATTTTTTAGTACAAAAAGCTGCTTTAAGAAACAGTAAGAAAGTCATTCCAAATGAAACCTAAGAAAAAAATTAAATAGTTAAAATAGAAAATTTTATGTTGCCTCTAAATAAAGCTTAAGTCTCATAAGGAGCCTAGAAAGCAATAAGAAAATTGTCACAAACGAAGTATAAGGCTTCATTTAGGATGACTTTCTTACTGTTTCTTAAAGCAATTTTTTAGTACAAAAAGCTGTTTTAAGAAACAGTAAGAAAGTCATTCCAAATGAAACCTAAGAAAAAAAATTAAATAGTTAAAATAGAAAATTTTATGTTGCCTCTAAATAAAGCTTAAGTCTCATAAGGAGCCTATTTTTTTAATAGTGCTCAAACAATTATCTATTAATATGTATTTTATTATATCTATTTTTATATATAATCTATAAAATATTTATACCTCACAAATATTAATATATACCTATGTGCTTCTTTCTTATATGTGACTAATAATTGCAAGTATTTAAAGATTCCATATAGTAATTGGGAAAATTTAATACTAAATAATGTGGATTATTGAGACAAAGCAAGTGCTTAACCCCTACTAATGTAAATTTTGGAATGCAGTGGGCATCAAACCAAGTGGGAGAGAGAGGTTGTCCTATTTTTGTTGGTTGTTTGAATATTTTGACTTACTCGATGGATGGAGTGATACAAACATGAACCTTACTTAAAAATTTCTTTGATTATTTGTATGAACTCTATA